AGCAAAGGCAGCAGAAGCCGCTAGTTCACATGCAAAGTCAATGGTTGACGCGCATCAAGGAGCAGCAAAACGTCCCGCAGCGCGTTTTGAGCAGCTGAAGCATCGTGTTGTGAGCCTCTGACCATCTAATATGCTGAACGAGCTGCAAACAAACTGCATACGCACTGCAAACGCAGCAGCTGCCGGAGTTGGTAAAGTTTTAACTTTTGCTGCTCGATTGGTGCTGCTGATTGGTTGGTGCAATGTCAACCAATCAGAGAAGCTGATCTGGGAGCTGACAGGGAGACAGACGCAGCACTGCTGATGCAGACCACAATGATCACTCCTCTGAAATAAATTATTAATGCCTAAATTAACTTAAAATGCTGAAACCTGCCTGCAAAACATGTTCGCTTTTATTATCCAGTGGCTGCAGTTTGGATTATGTACATGAAAACCGCTTTCCAGCCACCGCTGCAAACCGCGCCAGAGGCTGCTGTTGAATGGGATTCCTACCGACGGCGCACCTCCGGTATATGGGGTCTGAGCGGCTCTGACAGAAATAATATTTGAAGGCAGGATGGTAATCTAAATGAACTGACTGCACTGATTAAGTTTTCAAGTGGATTTTCCCATTTAAAAACATATTAAAACTACTTTAATACTACTGTATCACAGCAAATATAGCTGCCAAGCAAAAACAGGATAGGGTAGCTCCGCCCAACGCGCATCAGACCCATATTTCCACCGCGCAGCTGAAGCGGCTTTGCTGCTCCTGCTCCGCGTCAGAACTAAACTTGCACAAGCTTCACAAATGAAGCAGCAGATGCCTTTTTGCTGCTCCTGCTGCTTTTGGTGTGAACGTAGCATTAGCTTGTACAAACATCAAAAATGAAGCAGCACATGCTTTTTTGTCGCTCTTGCTCCTTGCGGTGTGAACGTAGCATGAGAATACGGACTACAGCTGGCATGAGGAAACACAATGATCAAAAACTCCTTGTAAGGCGCTAATCTGGTCTGTGGTTCTCCAGGGATCAACATGGGTTCGCTTAAAGATGTTTTCAGAAATGACTGGTGACCTTTATTCAGCAGATAGTTTATTTAAGTAGAGTTATAAGTTGTTTGACTGTTTTAACACTTGATTTTTGTTGTTTAAATATTGATAAATATGTAAAAATGAAAGCATCCATGTCCCCATTTCCAACTTAATTTTCATGATATGTATATGAAATGAGCCCAGATTAGATTGCAGAAATCTGGTTACCTTAATTCGACCACATTTGATGCATTAAAACATGGGTAAACACACTAAAAATGATGGTAAGTATGTGGAATGAACACATTTAACTAAATAATTCTTAAACTTCGAATGATTTTTTATCCTGTGATGTTTTTTTTTTTTGGCTTTATCTGATCCAAGTCTCTGCTTTGTGACGTGATACGCTTTTTCAGACTTTAAACGGCCAAATGAATCGCAGTGGCGGGCCAGCTTTAGCCCGAGGGCCTTCATTTTGACACATGTGATTTAGTAACATGGTAAATTTGGTATCGAGGAGGAACACTTGTTGCCTCAGGCCTCCTGTGACATCACCACATTTTCAGGGACAGTAAATTGGATCTTAACCCTTTATAGGGCAAGATACCGTTTTTGATCATTTGCATACCCCTTACAAATGGAGTCCCCCCGTCCCTCAGTGAGGTCTAGAAGAACAAGATCTATATCCAGCCATTCAGCAAAGATACAGCTACATGGCTGTACATCTTATTTTAGGATTTGACCAACTGTGTACCTACTGTGAATTAAGTTGGAAAAAAAGGTAAAAAGCTAATTGAAAACATAAAAAGTAAAGTTAATAAGCCTCATTAACAACTATATTTAGGTTTATAAACTAAAAAGTAATATATTCGGGCAAGTTGAGTTTCTTGTTATTACATTGACATTAATTTATGCCATCAAAATATCCATATCTTTTAATGTTACAAAGGAAATAAGGTCTTGTCTTTAGAGGCGTAGCCACAAAATTTTTATAATGGTGGCCAGGCAATAACCAGTGAACACTGAAGGGTGGCCAAAAGTGGATCGGCACCAGAACCTTGGGGTCAATCTATACTGATCCAACAGGAACATGAACAACCACAGCATCCATATTTTCCAAATAAAGACTAACTATACTTTCCTACAGCCTTTGCTAACAAATAGATGCATATATTTAAACATCCATTCTTTTAGATATAAGGTAAAGTGAATAAAATTCTTTCAGGTTTGAGTTCCAGGTTGAACATCTTTTCCATTGTCATTACCTACTTTTATCAATAATCATTTTGCATCAAATTGATATTTAAAAATACTAACATCTACAAAAATTGTTTATTAGTAAGTTTTTATTAGAATAGTTATTTATCTATTATTTAACTGAAGACTGACTTGCATTTTCTCTTTAGCCCCTTTAACACAAAATCTAGTTCTGAAAAGAGCATGAGTTCTGTATTCATCATCTTTAATGTTAGTATATTGATTTGCATAAACAACCACAGTGTTTTTGTTGTCAAGTAATTGTTAATCTATGACAAATTAAAATGTTTTGAATATTGAGAATATTACTGCTGCTACTGTCAGTATTATGGGGGGAAAAATGGTAGAGGTGGGCCAATGATCAGAGGTGTCAAGTAACAAAGCACAAATACTTTGTTACAGTACTAAACTTTTTAGGTATCTATACTTTACTCCATTACTTATTTTTCTTCCTACTTCTGACTTCTACTCATTACATTTTCACACAAGTATCTGTACTTTCTATTCCTTACATTTTTAAAACAAACGTTACTCGTTACTCTTGGCTTTGGTTTAATTTCATTATAAATATTTATTTCACATCATGTGCGCCATCCAATGCAGATCATTGGCGCCATCCACATCTAGTGAAAACTAGTGTAATTGGATGAGTTATATAACGCAAACACTCATTGGTTAGCTAAAGGAAATCATAAGAAGCAAGCAGGTGTTCTTCAAACTGCAAATGTGAATTGTCTATGCCATGCTACAATGTAGGATTCAGAAAAAGATGTTGAAATGTCTGAAAGGTCGTACAGGCGGGAGCGTATCTGGAGATGGAGACGGAGACCAACTTGGCCCTATCTCAAAGAACTTTTCAAAATAATTGAAAAATTGAGCTTTCAATTCATATAGTGGCATCTGGCTGTTTTTAAAAGGTTACTTTATACTTTTATACTTTAAGTAGTTTTTGGAGCACATACTTTCTCAGTTTTACTTGAGTAAAGAGGTCAAGTTGATACTTCAACTTTTACCAGAGTGTTTTAAACTAGGGATGCACGATATTGGGATTGTGGCCGATATCCGATATGCCGATATTTTAAAACTCATGTAGCCGATAACCGATATCGATACCAATGTTAAAACTGGACAAAAATAAGTAGTCATTGAAAATAGCAGTTTTGTTATCCATTTCTGACACTTTGAAAAATAATATACTCAAATATATTTTCATATGCTGATATCAAATTGATTTTTAAAAACGCGGTATCGATCTATTTTACTTTCAAAATCTCGTCAAATTTCATCTGTTACAAACTCTCGTGATATTTTGCAAATTCTTGTGATTTTGTTAGTAAAATAGATTGATACCGCGTCAATATATTAACATATCAAAATATGGCAAAATTTTGTGAATTTTCGGGGGATTTCGTAGCATAACAATGACATATAGCAATATTTCATTAGTAAAAGAGATTGATATGGTGTTTTTAAATTTAATGTATCAATATTTTTTCCCTCGTCTTTAGAAGTTTTTAAGTGTAAAAAAGAAGTTTTTGAGGAAAAAGAAGTAGTATTTTTTATTTTTTTTTAGACTTTAGAAACTCAGAAGCTGATCAAATATCGGGTTAAATATCGGTGGGGTGGCCAATGTCCGATATTCAGTTTTAAGGCCGATACCGATAGGGGGCCGATTATATCGTGCAACCCTATTTTAAACTGCAGTATTTATACTTCTACTTAAGTAACAAAAGTGTGTACTTTTGACACCACTGCCAATGATTGGGTAAGGGTGGCCATGGCCACCCCCGCCCCCCCTCTAGCCTCGCCCCTGCTTGTCCTGGATGTTGGCCTGAAATTTTGATTTTCAAAGTATTTCACTGAGTGCCCTATAAAGGGTTAATTTAATAAAGTTTTGAGTTATAAAGTTAAAGGGGAGTTTTCCGTAGGTTTGGTTCATTTTACAGAGGAAAATGTGCTTCCATATTGGCAGGGTTACCCGCCTTTCACCCCCACCTGTGACCCGGTAGCAGCGAACCTGTCAGCAGGAAACTCCGTGGTTTCACAATGGCCTCCGGTGCCCCTCCGCCTCCCCCACCGTCACTTTCCTTGTGACGGTTCTGTGACATTTTTTATTTATTTATTGTCCTTTCAAGAATAAAAAAAACTATATTAATAGAACAAATTCGTGTTCAAATTGTCATTTAACGTTTTTTTTCCGAGGAGGTCCACATCGCCGGCGTCAACCGCCGCAGGTTACAGTTAACTGCCGAGTTGCGGTGCACCGGCCGGGGTAATGCGGATCCATTCAACCGTGGACAACAGCCCTGTTGACTCCCGTCCTAGTCTCTCAGTACTGGGACTTTCAGCTTAATTTAGAAGCTTAAATATAGCTTAAATCTACTCAAATGTTAGCAAGAAGCCCGAAAATGTAGGGAAATGTGAATATTTTCCGAAAGTGTGTGCGCTCGGATCCAGTTTTTACGGCACGAAGTTGAAATCATTCTTTCATACAGGTAGAAACGCACACACTAAGGGCGTGTTCCCATGTCTGCCCCTCAAATAAGCTTAAATACGGCCAATTTCATCTGTTAGCACAATCAGCTAAGCGAGCTAACCCATTTTTACAGGCGTCGGAATTAAAGCAGGACAATTCTAACATAGAAGGCTGAGCTTCACACGCAAGTGAGTCCGCACCTCTGCAGAGCACGCATGACAGTAAACCAGCTGTTATGGAAACATAACTCACCCTTTATCGGCTGCGATATCTTATCATTGCGTTTGTAGATCATTTATCCAGAGATTGTTAAAAAAAAAAAAAAAAAAAAAAAAAAATAGTTCGCGGTGAGGTACAGTAGGAAGCAGCCAGTGAGGAGGAATCACCCTGGCAGTGAGGAATGTCAGAGGGGGCAGAGCTTCACGGGAAAACACAGGGGAGGTGTAGTACCTAAGGGTGGCACTAGGGGCGCTGGAAAAACTGTCTAGAAATAAGTAAAAATCATCTCTCACCCATGTCAATGTCTTCACACACTCTCACTCCATATTCACATTTTCTCACACAAAAAAATACAGACATTAAAACTCAACTCTTTTCCACTTATTTTCAATTCAATTCAGTTTATTTTTATTGCGCCAATTCCCAAGACGTCATCTCAAGGCACTTTACAGCTCATCAGATCATCCAGTCAAATTGATTCAAAGTTTTCTATCTTAGGAAAACCAGTATATTGCATCATTGACTCGAATGCAATCCCTCACACTAAGCATGCTTGTAGCAACAGTGGAGAGGAAAAACTCCCTTTTAACAGGAAGAAACCTCCAGCAGGACCAGGCTCAGTGTGAGCGGCCATCTGGGGTTCAAGGAGGCAGAAGCAGAGAAACAAAAAGCAGCTGTAAAAGGCGGCCCCGTTCAGGAGACACACAGCCAGGCAGGCAAGCTCCGAGCCAAATCCCATGTCAGAGGATGAAGATAGCACAGTCAGAGAAACAGGACTACACTGGAAAAACAGGCCAATTTCAAACATCTATAAACAAGGGTGTTTATGTATAGAACTACCACTGTGATCAAAATCCAGTCTTTTTAATACAACCTTAGTGCTAAATACACAATGACATGCCAGGTTCATATCCAGTCTTTATTCCCACCTGTTCACTGTGCCAGATATTGAACAAAGACAGTTGTTACGAGGGATGTCATTTTAATTTTTATCTTATCTGCACTAGGATAATTCTCTTTGTAAATTATTGAAGATTTTAAGCAATCTAGTACTTGAGTTAAGGTTTGCCTCTTAAACCCAAAGAAGCTCCACAAAAAGAAAAAGAACCATTACATTTTATTTTTCCAAAGTTCCGCCACCCAAGAAAAGACCAACAACATTCAGAGAGGATGTGCAGAACAGCTCAGTTATCCTGGATTCATAAAGGGAGAACCACAGGAATGTTCTCGTTTTATTATTACTTATCTTATTAATGTATCCTTATTTTGGTCAATTGAATATGTTTAAAAACTTAATTTCCATCACATTTTCTAAATGAAACATCCAGAGAAGTGCTGTCTGCTGTCACGGTGAGTTTTTATAAAATCTACAGCCTCCTAGAAAGTCTGAATCGTTTTGCTTTTTTGTCAATTGTAAAAAAAATTATAATAAAATAACAGTGAATGAAGCTTTTTAATCTTTAGCCTATTAACAAATATTCATACACAGTGTAGTTTGCATGGGATTCGACTGCACTGGTTCCTGTATTAGTGCCACTAATAACTTATTAGTTCCCCATAGTTTATTTTACTTAAACTGCAGAGAATGATTAATAAACAAAGTTGTGAAATTCTTAGTTTACTTTAAGATGCAATCATTTTAGTAGGGCCCATTCTTCTTTACTTAAATTCTATAAAAATAACCAGAATAAAGAAAATTATATATATTAGGAGAAAAATGTTCCACATTACTACAGATCATCGATTATTATCCAGCAACATTTACTGTGCTATAAAAATCCCACATTCTGACACTTTGTTTCGGTTAAATCCTCTGAAAACCTCCAACCTTATAGCTGCTCTTATCCTCAGAGCCTTTTGATGGAATCCTGACAGGGTTTCCTGTCCAAACCATTTCAAAATCTCACCCCAAGGTTTGGTGAAAAGTTGGCAGCCCTGAAAATGTCTTAAATTAAGTGTATTTACCCTTAATTTGATTAGGTAAATGAAATTATTTGCCAATCAAATTAGTATTTTTACTCTTAAAATGAGATATTTAGATAAAATGCACTTGAAATAAGACAAACCAATTGTGTTTACTTAGTTTAAATTTAAATAGTCTTGTTCCACCAAACAAAAAATGCACTTATTTTAAGAAGAAAATTGACATTTTCAGTGCAAGCATTTAAAACTGCCTTTTAAAAAAAGCATTTCAGGTGTTTAAACCTTTAAAGGGCAAGTTAGTATTTTTGATCCCTTCCATACCCCTTACAAATGGAGTAAGCCAGCCATTCAGCATAGATACTGCTACATGGCTGTACATCTTATTTTAGGATCTGACCAATGAGATTAGTCCCTGAATAATATATTACCTACTGTAAATTAAGTTGAAAAAAAGTTACAACTCAAGAAAAAAATGGTAAAAAGCTAAACCTAGTTAACAATTATATATAGGTTTATAAACTAAAAAATATAAGTGCAAAAATCAGCATTAATGCTTCTAAGGTTCTGTCGTACCAAAAAATGTGTTTCTTTCACTGAAAGAGTGTTTTTCATTCATTTCTTATAGAAGCACTTTTTTTATTTTTCTTAACATATTCAGGTAAGTTGGCGTTTCTTTGTTATTACGTTGACATTAATTTTTTGCCATCAAAATATCCATATTTTGTGAATGTTACAAAGCTGACAAGGCCTTGTCCTGGATTCCAATAACACTATAGGCTTGAAATTCTGATTTTTAAAGTATTTCACTGAGTGCCCTATAACGGGTTAAGGTTATTTACAGTTAGTAACCTTACAAACTAGTGTAATGTTATATAACCAGTAGAATACTTTTAATTACTATGGATAAAAGTGTGGCTTGTATTTTGTTTTCAGGTGCTTTAATCTTAAACGCATTTATAAATACATGCTGGACACATGCTGCTCTCCTTTATTTTGTTCTCCTTACCTTTTTTTATTTTCATCTGTGAAATAGTCTGCCTGGATGACTGAGCATGATCAGTATTTTAATTCAGTACATGCTGAAGGAGCGTGATAGACGTCCTGAACTAAACTGACCCAATGATACCGCTGCAGGAGCTGCAGAGATAAACTGCTCAATTGGAAGAATCCATTCACGGGACGCTCCACAAATCTAGCTTTGATGTTTAAGTAATCCGGTTTAATGGTTACAACCACATATGAACTAAGAAACAAAGAGCTAAGCTAAAGTTTAGGACTGTGTTCACACTAAAAGAGGGCCTCCAGATCCAGTTTGCCTGCAACTGAGGTTGGGCCGGGTCAGGTTGGTCCATCTCTCACACCAACATGTTTCTGTGTTGCCATTAGTCAGGACTCTGAAAAATATTTTATAGTGAAAGTAAGAAAAAGAGTGGAGGTTCACTTTGGTGAATGACAGCCTTAAGCATGCAGCTGTGTCTTTAGTCCTGCAACTATTGGATATGTCTCTACCTTAACACACCTGAATGAAATAATTAGGTCTTTAGCAGAACTCTAGAAAAGCTACCTTCAATTAAAGGGTGATAAAGCCATTTGATTCAGGTGTGCTGGACCAGTTGCAGGATACTGCCCCTCAGGGACTCGAGTTTGACAGCCCTGATTTATATTAAATCAAATGAACATTTTAGAACAGCCTAGTTAAAGTTCAGACCTCAGTCCAAATGAGAATGTGTGAAAAATGCCACAAAATGCTCTCGAACATTAACAAGCGTGAGCTATTTAGCGAAGAATGTTAAAATGTATGTTAAATGAGCGAACGTTTGCCATTGTGCCTTTTTATTAAAGCTTATTTATACTTCTAAAATTTAGACTTCTAGAAAAGCTGCAAAAGTTTGCACAAATAAAATATAATATCACCATAAAAAGGATCTTTTTTCTTTTTCCTTCCCATTGACAATCTTCTACTGCTTCTTTTAGTCTGCAGCCATAGAAGTCCCAGACTGTGGCAGGCTTCCAGGGAATGTAATCAGATTGTACAAAAGGCCCATTTTCTCATCCCTGCAACAGGTAATGTTTATGTCACAGTCTGTGAGGCGGAATAAGGTAAACAGTCGACACTCGGTTCACGGCAGCAAAACAAAGGTTGGACGGATAACAATCTGACTTGGACTCGGTGGGTGAAAGAGACACAATGTAGCCAGCGAGGCCCTCAGACAGCCTCTTATGAGAAAGAGTAAACAAATCCTCAATATTATTTCCCTTTACAGTATGAAAGTAAAAGTACTGAGTAATATCCTGCTGTGAATTAGCGTTTTGTGTCATTCAGTTGAGTAGAAAAAAATAAAATCTTGTTTGAAAACGGTCATTTACAAGATGATATATGATAGAAATTTTAAAACATTCACATGCAGTGGATTAGGAGGCTGTCTTTTTTCTGTTTGCCATGACTGGATTAACAATTTGGACGGAGGATGGGGTTTTGATTTGGACAGGACAAGAATTCTGTTTGCTTTGGGTTATTTTCCTTTTATCCTTCATGACCCAGTTTAGTCGGGACTGTAAGTCTACTCACTCAGGCTACGGATCCATTTGCTCAGCAGAGAAAAATGTGGTCTCTAATTCTTATAATGCACAAAGCATTAAGGATCGTTTAGTGAATTTGATTTGGCAGAGTCAGCATCTGACAAATTTTAACTCAGGCTAACTTGCAGAAACAGGAAAAAAGAAGCAAAATAAAAGGAAATTAGGGAGAAATCAACATTTGCAGAAAAAAAAACAAAGTATATTCTACATGTAATGTAAGAAATTTTCCTAAATTTCCCTATGATTGATTTTTTTTAGATTATCAAACAGAAGCTTTAAGAAGTGAGAAGATTCAACCTGCCAATTACTAGTTCTGTATCTTAGCATTCTTTTTTCTTTATTATTGGTAATAACTGCTTGTATATTGAATGTAAGTTTTCTAAACTCTAATAAGGCAAAGATTTAAACCATAAACCTACAATCACCATGCTTTGCAGATAGTATTATGCTTTACTTGAAAGCAAGTTGATGTTTGCTTTAATCAAACAAACAAAGCATTTCCAATAACTGTATATATTATCTACTTTATAGAGCATTTTCCTTTTTATAATTAGAAAATAGAGCATTTCTTAGTTCCTTTTGGAATTAGTTTATCTAGCTTAGTTATTTAAGATATAAAGGATAATGATTATTTGTAATCTTCACTATTAAGTCAATGCTTC